CTTAGAGAGGAATAGATTTATACATTCTCCCAACAGAAACAAAACACTGAATTGAGCATGTATCTGTTGCCAGTGAATAAGGTGATGAAAGAGGGAGAGTCTTTGTTCTAAACATTTGAACTGTAAATTTAAAATAATTGAGGTACAAAAAATTCAGAAGTGCCATACATGCAGGCCAGTTCTTAAACAGATGTCTTTGGCTCTGTATGCCAAAGAGGCAGAACATGAGGTCTGAAGAGTTAAACTAGACTCCATGGAATGAACTGTGCCTTGAACCAAGCATTACTGTGTATCATGAGCCAAAACATTGTTTCTCTGCTCAGCTTCCTCTTTTTAATCTTATGCCAGGGGCATAAATTGGACAGTTGCCCAGAATTTATGGCACTAAAGTGCTATGTTATTCTGACATGAAGCTGCATACAGTGTCACTGATATAAAGGTGAAAAGCAGTTAAGTAGAGGAAAGCGGGGGAACTTACACATTCCTATGTATAGCCTCACTGTCCTCCATATGGTAGAAACATAGATGACTGCTGAACTGCAGGGTGGAATCACATTGGCTAATGCAGATGCACCTGAAAGTTATGGTTTCATTATGCAACGTCTGCTGTGAATATATGAGTTAGGTTTACATCCTAAACCCCATTGTTTAATCATGCATTATGGTATAAATAATTCCCTTGAAAGATATAAAAAAGTCTGATTTTGAACATTTCCTGACATCAGTGCTTTTCAATACAGTCCCTACTTAAAAAACTGTGGAGTGATTTATTCACATCAGTTTTAATTCTTCCCTGCTGCCAAAGGAGCGCAGAATGACATTTTCACCCCTTCCTTTATTCTCAAGACTACTGAGAGGGGTGCGTGCGTGCGTGCGACTGGTACAAGGAAGGGTGGATAGGGGAGTTAAAATAGGGCCTGCACTGCTTCCTGCTCACATCATGTTATGCTACTACTTGCCTTGCTTTGTGATCCTACTGGCTTGACTGTGGTGTTAGGTGCTTAGGTGCCTGCTGAGGCTGGGAGATGGCAGCCACTACTACAGCTTTCTCATGACCGCTGCTAACACACATAAGAGTGGTCTAGATACAAGAAGAGATGGGAAATCTCCAGCATTTCTAGGAAGTTGGAAACCATGGGGAAAACAGAATTTTTGTGAAAAATTCAAATATTCAATACTTGCATTCTTATCTTGCCTGAACTTGTTTTTACTGTGCTTCATTGTGTTCTATGATAATTGCTGCTCATCCTCTACCTATATGTATGAACTGATAACTTCCATTTCAATGTATTTGAATAAGTGTGCATTAACTCAAAAGCTTATACCTTGAATAAAACTTTGTTGGTCTTAAAGGTGCCACCGGACTTGAATTTTGTTCTGTTGTTTGTACATAAAACAACATAAAAGGAATGATTTGGCTTATAAATGCCTTAGATTTCTACAAGGAAAACTGCAAATATACCCAGTACTTGAGAGAGAGTGGCAAGCTTAATTTTTGCTGTCTGAGAGGACAGAAAAAGAATTTGAAATAAGAAAAGAATTTTTGTTCTTAGGACAGAAACAGTCCTTCACAATAGGACTAGTGACATATTTGGATATCGAATTAAACAATATCACTCAAAACACTGAACTCTTTAATTATGTATTATCATCATGCATATTATAGCGTATTAATTTTTGTCAAAATTATTGAGGCTTAAACAGTAACCATATCCTTAAAAATACATTGTATATGTCTACACAGTATACATAGGAATTAACAGAACACCAGTCGTGGTGTGCATCATCAGCAACTGACAACCTCTCCTGGATAATGACGGTTCTCTTTCACAAGTACTGGGGGGGCAAACCTTTTCTTGCCCACAGACAGCCCCCCAGTCTTAAACAACTCTTCACCCGCAATAATACAACATCTAATTTGAACATGGACACTGGTACTAGAGCTTGCAATAAATCCAGATGCCAACTTTGCTGCCACATACACCCAGTCAATAACTGGACCTAACAACATTAATGACATCATCTCAGCCTCATTAACTTGTTCATCTTCTAACGTATATGCCATTACATGCCAACAATGCTCTTCAGTTCCCCTTCATAGGGCAAACAGGTCAAACCCTACGCCAAAGGATAAATGGACACAAATCTGAATCACAAAACCGAGAAACCTGTAGGGGAACACTTCAGCTTTCCAAAGGAACTTCAGAAACAGACTAGAATGGGAGATTGCTGATTTACAAGTTATTACAACACTCAGTACAATGGAATGCCCAGGGCTGTATGCTGATTTGCTGCTATTCACAGGTCTTGCCAGTCACCGTCATCCAATCTTAGTTATATTTACTGCTCAGTTACTTATGCATCTTCACTCTAATTGGCTCTTCCTGGCAACATCCTCTTCATCCTATGGCCTCATCCTATATGTAACGGCTGGTGTCTAATATTTCCTAAATTAGTTTTTCTTGTACTTTTCCCCATGAATTTGCAAGATAGCCTATTGCTCAGAATCTGAACAGAAAGGGCAGGTTTAGGCGGCAAACTTTTAAAAAAATTGCATGCCAGCATTTCAGTGTTTCAGCAGTGGAGCGCGCCTTTACTGAAACAAATGGTAATTCCCATTGGCAGGCCCGTCACCAGCAGCCAGTCATTGCCTTACTTACCATTCTTTCATTCACACCAAACAGAAAATATTAGCACATCCCTGGGCGCCATTTTCAAATACATTTTGCAGTGTGTGCAACTAGCCTAAAAACATGCAGTCGAAGGAAACAAGCTGCTGTGAGCTGTGCACCTGATTCAAAATTTTATGGGGGAGCCAGTGAGAGAGAATGCTCAAACAAGGGAAAAGAGGCAACCAATAATGGGTGAGACACGTATACTAGGTATGACTTTCAGGTTTGGTGTGGTGGGCGGGGAATGTACTCATAAAGGGATTTCTCAGCCCCCTTGAGGCTACTGACGGGCTGCAAGCATAACTCTGAAGAAGTGTGTGTACACATGAAAGTTTATACCTTGAATAAAACTTTGTTAGTCTTAAAGATGCCCCTGGACTCATGTTTTTTATTTGTTCAAGTGAGCAGTGCCAGTAGCTCCTTTTTACCTACACAGCCTTACAGGGAAGATCTCTTGGGTCTGTATCTGAAGAAGCGTGCTTGTACATGACAGCTTATACCTTGAATAAAACTTTGTTGGTCATAAAGGTGCCACTGGATTCAAGCTTTGTTCTGCTGCTTCAGACCAACTCGGCTACCCACCTGAATCTATTGGGCTTCACTTATTTTAATACTTCCAAGCAGGTATATATACAGCCCCGTAGCCAGGATTTTTTTTTTCTAGGGGGAGGCTCAGGGGCACTGCTACTTAATTTCTCTTCCTTCTCTAGGACCCCAGGAGTAGTCCTAGCCACAGAATACCTGGCTCCCATATATATCTCTCCCTTCACATCTTGGATCTCAGTCCTAATCCAAATTCCACCCTGGTTTTGCTTTCCTAAAGTGGATCCTGCTTCTGATCTCCAAGCCCTTCTTTTTTCACTCAAGTCCCTGCTCCAGCTGTAAGGCCAAGGGAACCATGGAGTCCTGACTCCAACCTTCTTCCTAAAAGAACCCAGGTGTCCTGGCTGTCCTCTCTGAGACCCACCTGACAAAGGGAACCCTGGTTCCATCACCCCTCCTTTGTTCCCTCCCCACCCGTGGCTTTAGGTCATGCCCTTTCGCCATGCACATCGTTAGCCAGCTCTCCCCATCTTGGTGCGCCCCGGGTCCAGCCGTGCTACCTGGGCTACGATGCCTTCAGTGCAGCTCTGCTTTAAGGCTCCAGCAGCGGCAGCTCCACCTTGGGTCCCGCAGCTCACATAGTGCCCTGCCATGCTTGGCCCTGCCCACCGCTTGGCTTTGCCCAGCCTCGTCTGCCATGTGAGCCCTTCTCGCCTTGCCTTGTCTTGCCCTGCCCTAGAGGTGGCCACCAGGTTGATTCCCTGGGCTGCGCTGGAGAGGCTGGGGTTCATCCCCCCCCTCTGCAGGGCAGGCACTGGCTGCAATCTCTGTCAATCACTGCTGAAAGGAAGGGGAAGCCAGCTTGGGACAGCCCCTCACACTATAGAGGAGAGGGAGACTGAGATGGAGGCAGGCCAGGGCTCCATTTGCATCAGTCCCGGCTCACTTCCTCTGGCCTTGGTGCAGTCCAGATGCTGTGGGAGGCTGAGCTGCTAGGGTGCCTTCGACCCAACCACAGTAGGGCTCTGCCTTAATTGTGGGGGACTCTGCTCCTAAAGCCCCACCACTGGCTATAGCCCTGTATATATAGGATTGCAACCATAATGTTGATGATATGGCTTTAATTCCTTGTCTATGGACAAATGTTGAGTTTTCATTATTAAATATTTCCATAACACTCTTTTGCTTTGTAAAACATATTACAAATCTCTGTACCATTTTTCCCCCTGTGGCATAAAATGTTTTGTTGTTCTTTGGCATTGAGATTGTTCCCCCCACATGGAATCATGTTTGGCTGTTTACAGTATGATCGCTCCACTGTTAGAGGTTAGAAATGAAACACTGCCTGTATAACTTGCATATTTTGCAGTAGTGCAATGTAATTCAGAGAACTATATTGAAGTGTTACAATGGAGAACCTAAACGATTGACATTTTGAATTGGTTGGTTATTACTTGAACAAACTCAATGTAACCTACAGAGACACCTTCTAAGCTGGAATTCTTTTTGTCTACTTTGTCATGGTAAAATGATGGAAAAAGTATTTCTTGAGGTGATGAATTTCTAATACCGGTAGAAATAATTCATAAGGTATCTCTTGTGTTTCCCTGAAATAAAATGGTACTCTGTGTCATTCCAGTGAGCAGAAAAATAGCAACTGCCAGTCAGTTGTTTGGGTCAAGAATTAAGTGCTTTTAGTTTTGTTGGAGAATTGTAAACTGAAGTTTGACTTGTGAAAACTGCTATTCTTTAACAACAAATAACCAGAATTATTTTTATTTCTAGAAAAGCTAATTGCTTATCAAAGGGAATTTCACGCCTTGAAGGAACGTCTTCGCATAGCTGAGCATAGGACCCTCCAGCGCTCCTCTGAATTAAATGCCATCTTAGAGCAGTTCAGACGTGCAGTGGCAGAAACAAATGGAAGTAAAGATGCACTGAATAGCATTTCAGGTACAGGTTGATGATGTGTTTAAAATTTGAAATGATCATTGTGATGGACAGGAGAAGATTCTGCCTTCCCCCCATTCAGCTTGGACCAATCAGATCTGAAAGGCTGAATGGAATTTTGGAGTGAGGGGGGAAATTGAGGCAGTTCAACAGCCAACAACCAACTGAAAAAAGGAGAGGTTAGTTCTAGAGGAAGAAGGGACAGGTGGTATCCTGAGTTTGCAGGGAGTCCATTAGGGGCTTTATGTAGGCAGACAACATTTGGGTGCTGTTTTTATATTATAAACAGTTAAGTGTTAAGGCTCGTCTTGTTGTGGTTTCTAAGTCTGAGATGCTGAAAGCACCGACATTGTAACAAATGAGAAGGTTCATAGGGTCCCCCTACCTTAGCAATTTTGAAAGGCATGGCAAAAACATTTTTCTTTCCCACACCCTTTCCAGAGTTATTTTTAAAGATTATTTTTGGTCTCTCTACTGGGTTTGATAGATTTTATGTGCTGGTGGGTTTTTTTTTGTTATGATACGATGGTATTTTATCATGTTATGATGGAATTTTTAAATTTTGTTCTGTAAGCCATCCCAAACATACAGAAGGGTAGAATATCCATTTTTAAAATATTCTTTTAGAAGTTCCATCCCATAAATCTGAAACATCTGGGAGGTGGTGGAAAGTGCCTTCAAGTCACAGCTGGCTTATGATGACCCCGTAGGATTTTCCAGGCAAGAGACATTCAGAGGTGGCTTACCATTGCCTGTCTGCTTCATGACCCTGGACTTCTTTGGTGGTCTCCCATCCACACATAGTAACCACCAGGGCTATTTTTGGGCAGGAACGCACAGGAACGGAGTTCTGGCTGGCTCCCAAGTTGGCCACGCCCAGCAGGAACTCATTAGCATAATAGACCACACCCAATGGCAGAAACTCATTAGGATTGGCTACATTAGGGGTGTGTGGCCTAACATGCAAAGGAGTTCCTGCTACAAAAAAAGGCCCTGGGTTATGACAACAGACAAGGTAAACAGAATAACAAGCAAAAGGTGGGTGTGGCTGGATAACCACACTTTTCGTAACATGTGGGTACGGCCTAATGTGCTAATGAGCTGTGCTGTCAGGGGTGTGGCCCAGTATGCTAATGAGTTCCTGCTGTTGGGTGTGGCCTATTATGCTAATGGGTTCCTGCTGGGCTTTTTCTACAAAAAGAGCCCTGGAACCATGGCTGACCTTGCTTAGCTTTTGAGATCTCATGAGACTGGGCTAGCCTGGGCCACCCAGGTCAGGGCAAATGAACACCTTATTGTTACATTTTTGTTAGATGTCACTGTTGGGTAAGTAGTTATGTCTCTTGTGTTATGTTTTCAGATGAAACATTAAAATTGTTGAAGGAGCTAACAAGCAGAAAATCTCTTCAAGTGCCAAATATATATTACCACTTGCCTCATTTGCTGAAAAATGAAGGAAGTCTTCGGCCTTCTGTGCAGATCGGCCTTGGAAGAACAGGAGGTAAATTAACAAGATTTTCTGTGATTGATGCACTTAAATATATGCCCAGGCTTTGTGGCTATAGCTATAGGTTGGCATGACTTCCAAAGCAATAAAGAAACCTTATTCCTTTTGCTGGTTATCTCTTAGAGATCAGCTTGAATCCAAGATGAAAGAAGTTCTGTCATCATCCTTCTCTTTTATTATCTTATGCAGATCCCACTACTTTTGATGTTAAGGTATACAGTAAAAATCACTAATGTGAAATGGCGTGTCTTTTCTTAAGATTTGAAAATAACAATGCATGGCGTTTTCTCACAAGTTAATAAATTCAGTAGGGTTTCCATGCTGTGTAAGTTCTGTCGCGTTTGAAATGTAGAATAGGTCAGTAGACCATCTCTTGCTATCACTGCTTTTAGCGAATGATCAAACTGTGCCCATTGTTCCAGTAGATGATCATGTTATCTAGATCCAGTGACTTCCTTCATATGAATCTGTAAACTTGCACTGTCCCAGTGGGGATTACTATTTATTTTCCACAGCTCACCCTGTTTACGAGATGGCTTCTGACACTCCCAGGTCATTAGATATAGGCAATATATGTTGGGCAGGAAAAACTTATAGTGCTTTTCAGACATCCTGCTCAGTTTGGGCATCTACAAATTGTGACTGGGTTTGGTAGCCAACTGTTGTTTTCTGCTAGCCTGCTATAAAATTCATCGTAATAGTACCTGTAACAATAAGATAATTACTAGACTGACTGGAATATACACTAATCATGTTAATAAAAGGGGGAACAATAATTTAAATGTAACAAATTACAAATGTTTTGTGTGTAAGACCCCAGGTTCAGATGTTGCATATCCTAGTAAAACGATTCCCGGTAACATGGCTGGAATGACCTGTAGTTGAGAGGCTGGAATTAGCTGCCAGTTAGAATGGACAGTACTGGGCTGGTTGGACCAATGGTCTGGCTTGGTAAAGGCAGTTTCATACGTTCAAGGCTACAATCCTGTGCCTAGGAATAAGCCCCATTAAATTCAGTGGATCTTCTAAATATACATACATCCAGATTGAACATCACTGAAACTACCTGTCCAGATTCAAAAAACCTTTTCCCCATTTTTTGTAGAAAATAGTAGCAAATGTGGTTTCTATAGTTTTAAAAAAGATCTCTCTTCTTACCTGCTAATTAAAGGTAAAGGTTCCCTTGCTTGAAAGCCAGTCGAATCCGACTCTAGGGTTGCGGTGCTCATCTCCATTTCAAAGCTGAAGAGCCAGCGCTGTCCAAAGCCATTTCCGTGGTCATGTGGCCGGCATGACTAAACACCAAGGCGCACGGAACGCTGTTAGCTTCCCACTGAAGTGGTACCTATTTATCTACTTGCAATTTCTTGCTTTCGAACTGCTAGGTTGGCAGGAGCTGGAACTAGGGACGGGAGCTCACTCCGTCATGCAGCACACTCGGGTCTCGAACTGCTGAACTACTGACCTTCCACAGTCTGCAGTTCAGCGCCTTAACCACTTGAGCCACCGCAGCTAATTAGTCAGTGTCAAAATGGGGTTTTTTTAAACAGCAGTACTATGTGTGTATTCTTTCTTTGGCTATGGAGATTTCAGTAAGAAAAGCAGACAGGATAGTGAAAGGAGATTTGTAAGATGCACAAAAATATCTGCTGAAAGTATAAAAGTCTCTGCTTGGAGGCTCCTAGAATGGCAGTATAGCAAATTCCTTTGCATTAAAAGACACTCACCAGGATGTGAAATATCATCACTACTGGTGATATAGTGGGCTCTAGGGTTGATCGCCTGAGGCTGACAAGTGGAAGGAGACTTCCATGAGGCCCTAGCTGGTGAAAATATAGTGATATTGCTACTGGTGTGACCTGGAAGTGACATCATTGTATACGGCATGACACTCTAGCATTCACCCTAGTATTTGGCAAAATCTAGAGTTTTGCCCAATGTGATGACATCACTTCTGCATTGTGACAGAAATAACATCATGGCATTGCTGGTGCTTCCAATTGTCCCCCAACCCAGCTGAGTGGTGATGGGGATAGCCAGTGGGGGTGTGTGGGGGTGTGAGAGATAGGGTTGCCAGGTCCCTACCTTTTACCAGCAGGAAGACAAGGCTTCCCATCTAGGATCTTCTGGCATGTGCCAGGGTGACTATAGAGTTTTTTGACTGAGTGCTAGAGCATCCCCCCGGCGACATGCCCGGTGTGATGATGTCACTTCTGGGTGACATCATTGCACCGGGCATGTAGGCATGATCCCAGCACTTTGGTGGCGAAGTTCCCCCACCGGCCGGATCTGGGCTGGCGGATCACGGGCCCTAAAAGCAGGCAAACCCCCGCCCCCTTGGGGGAGTGGCAAGCCTAGTTAGAGACATGAACGGAAGTGGGAGACATGGCTCTCTAGTGAGGGAACATGGTACTTTTATATAACATTGGACATTTTCTACACAAAGATTATACCCAGAAAAAATAATGCATGAAGTGGCCTGCAAAGGTAGCATTTTATACAGTTCAGGGGAGTGCCTGTTGTGAAAATGTGAAAAGACCCCTGCTGTGTATGGCAGTGATGCTGCACAATTGTCTGATTTGGGGCTTAAATTCTCTGTTCTGTCTGTGGCTGTTTTGATTCTTTTATGCATATGCTGCTGCTGTTGAATGCCACTGTCACAGGGCATTTTTCATAGGGCCCAGGAGTTCTGAGTCTCTGCAAAACATTATTTTCCGATTCATTATGTTGCCCTGCTTGTATTGCTACTTCCATCCTCTCTTCTGAGCTTGAAGTTTTCATCATATAACTTTTTCTGGTTTGCGTGCTTTTGTAAAAAAAGAAAAAAAGAATAATCACAGATAGTGTGATTTTGCATTGTGTGGATTTTGCACAGTTTTATCAAGATGAGTCTTTGATAATGCATGTCATGTATGAACATCACATAGTAAAGCATTATGGGTTTTATACGAAGCCCACTCTGTGTGTGCATGGAAGCTGTCGTAACAGGAATTGATTCAGTGTATATTTTGATGGGCAAATTAGCAAAAAGGTTAATTAAAATCCTAAATTTTCTCCTGTGAGGCAGGTTTAGTGAAATATAGTGGCATATCCATATCCGAACATCATACCCATATAATCCGAGTCTCATATTTAATATTTTTGGAATCTTGATATAAAATTGAACTAAATAAAAGAAAGTATTGGTAACAACTCAATTATCTGTTGAATTGTTGAATTCAGGCAACAGATCCCCCCCCCCACACCACTCTGAGGTTTTTCATAGAGGGTCCTGGGCAAAAGTCCAGGAGGGGGGATGCCCACTAGGGTCAAGCAAAGGGTGGCCATCATCCCATAAGAGGCAGACAGTAACTGTCCAAACCCTGGACTGGGTGGACATAGGTGTCAGCAGGAGCCTGCACTTCTTCCCACTGGGGGGTGCAGGGCCATGGGTGGTCAGGGTCCCACCCAGTGTGGGGCCTGGAGCAGAAGCCCCTATTGCCAGTTGTCTAAGACTTCCCATGGGTCCACAATGGCTGATGAGAAAGCTGTTTGTCTGAGTGAGACATTGAGTACATGGGGGTTTTCAGTTAGAGAGACTGGGAACAAATGTGAGGGTTGTGATGTTACTGATAAGTATGAGCTGTATACTTGGCCAGTGGACTTGTGTAAATAGTATAGGAAGTGTGCTGGAAAAAACTTTCTATCACCAAATGTATGTACTCCAGGTTCTGAACAAAATTAATTTTTTTCTCTACTAAAAAAAGGTACTTAAACTTCTCAGAAGTATGAAACACTTTCTTTGTACAAATTGCAGTGAAACTTATAGCTTGTGGTGCACATATCCCATTAATATCATTTTCAAGCTGTATTACTTTTTAAAAGTATTTATATATTTCCCGTTTTCATTTATACCTGCAATTTTGAACCTACTTTGTGGTTTATATATTTTGTTTGTTCTAAAGTATTTCTAAATGTTGCATAACAACCCCCACCTTTTCCTTTCCTGCTTAAGCAATACAAGTGAAATACTTTTTGTTTGTTTCAGTTTCTATAGTGATGGGAATTCCTACTGTAAAGAGAAAAGTAAAATCTTACCTTACTGAAACTCTTCACTCTCTGATTGATAAGTTGTCGCCGGAAGAGAAACTAGACTGTGTTATGGTTGTCTTCATAGGAGAGGTAATCCACTTGCATTTTCAGGCTGTCCCTAATTAGTCCTTTAAGGAGTATTGTCTTTGTTTATGCCTCTCTTCTTTTCCTTTTGACAAATGCTTATACTGTATTTGGAACAGTGATTCTGTTTTCAGCTTATGAAAAGGCACATTGTACCTATTTACAGGATTAATTTTTCTTTCATTGTCCTACAGCTAGTAGGCTCCAGCTCAATAGGGAAAATTAAACAAACTTTCCACAAAGATTCAAGGATACTTGTGCAATGTTCCCTCTAAGCTGTGGAGTCCTGTGAGCAAAAATCCTACTTTGTGACCTACTGGCATTAAAGTTGTGAGCGAGTGATTTGGCTACTGCATACATTATTCTGCTCTGGAGCTTCCTGAGCTATGACAAAAATGTGTGAGATGGAGGCTAAAAAACTGTCAGCTAGCTCACATTAACTCAGCTTAGAGGGAGCACTGCTTGCATGGGCAAGGAATTCTGTTTTTCTGGAAGTTAGAACTGGATGATTGCCTTCCTAGTAGGTTGAACTGAAATATGTGTGATATTCCAATATTTTCCCCTAGTAAAATACAGTGTGTGCAGAAGGTGTTACAGAACTAGCAGAGGCTTAAGATGCCATGAGCTATGATCTTATGCAGAAGAAGTGGGGGCAGAGCTTGGCTGTGATATATAGAAGGAAGCCAATTTTTGCAATTCATGTCCGGCACACATGTGCTATGGCATCAGGGGCTCAAGAACAGTCTTTTGAGATACGAGGGGCCAGTGGCAATCTCTGCCTTGGTTAAAGTGCTAAGATTCTTTCCAACACACCAGTACTGGTGCATATGGTTGCTGTTCTGGCACATAACAGTGGGGGCTAGATCTTGGCATTAGAGGGAGAGTTCATTGCAGTCTTCTTGACTTAAAGTAGATATGAGAGCCCTACCAGTACTACGATTGTTGATATGCATCAAAGTTTTGAATTTGTCTCAAGAATAATATTGGTATACATAAGGCTTTTAAGCATAACAGGACCAAAAATACAGTCAGGCCTCTGCCCCAGGGCCCCTGCAAACAAAAATTCAACACTGAATATGATTTACAAAGGGAGAAGAGGAAAGGGTAGGGTTGCCAGCCTCCAGGTGGGGCCTGGAGATCTCCCGCTTTTACAACTGATCTCCGGCTGACAGAGATCAGCTCCCCTGGAGAAAATGGCTGCTTTGAAGGGTGGACTCTATGGCACTGTACCATGCTGAGGCCCCTCCCCTCCCCAAACCCCACCCTCTCCTGGATCCACCCCCAAAGTCTCCAGGTATTTTCCAACACAGACCTGGCAACCCAAGGAAAAGGTAACCAGGAATTAATATGAACAAATATAGCTATATGTGCTCAGGCTTTATTGGTTTGGAATTCCATGCTGCAGTTTTTCAAGTGAGAGCTTGAACAAAGTATGTTACAATATGATGAGGTCTCTTTCAACAGAGTACTGGTATTTTAACAAACATGAAAAAGACTTATGTTTTCTCTTTCCTCTCATTTTTAAAAAGAGCATAGAGTACACCATGCATATTTAATAAATGACTCTTCAGTTACCTAATTAATAGTAGGCCGTAGCAGAAGTAAAATGATTGTGTCTAGCTGCTTGATTAAGAACTACCTGGAAGTGGCTTATTTCTGGAGAGCAGTCAATTAGAATGCAAAATGGCATCTACATAGTTCTTATTCTGGTTCCCAATTAGGGTTGCCCAGGTCCCAGAGAGGGTTCCCCCACTTTTTGAGGCTGTGTTCTCCTTCAGTGGGAGGGAAGTCATTCAGGAATTGGTTAGGTCACGCCTCTGCTCGCTCGATAGGCTATGCAAATTTCTTTTGTTGCATGGCTCCTATTGGAGTGGCCCTGACTGACCTCTCCAGTTCCTGCATAGCCCCTGCACTCGGTAGGCCGTTTGGAGCTTCTGCTCCAAGCCAGAAGGACTACCTTAGTTAGGAAAATAGCTAGGAAAAAGAAAAAAGAAAGGATACTTTCCCAGGACACGGTCCTCCCTCCAGGTTCCGTGAGGATCGGAGATCCAGAGGAGCCAGAGGTTGAAGAAGAAGACAGAGTCGGCCATCCATACTCCGAAGCACCGGAGGGGAGAACATGGCCGCATCGGTGGACATCGAGGAGCAGCTGCCTATAGCTCCCGAGGCTTTGGGGGTTGGGCAGCGGAGCGTTTAGCGGCTGGAAATCGCGCCGCTGCAATGGGACGACAGCTCCTCCATCGCGGGACCAGCTGATCGCAAGGAGCCAGCCGGCCCCCACGGAACCCCCCCATGTGGCTAAAGATGGCGGTGCGCAAGCAGCAAGCAGCGGCGGCCATAAGCGTGCACAGCCAAAGGGGTCCAGCTTACCACCGCGGACCAAGAAGATGGCACTGCCAAAGTCGGCTGGCGGAGCAGCCAGCGGAGCCAACAAGAAGGGAAAACGCCATGGGAAAGCCACGGGTCCGGCGAGCCCAGCGGGTGAGCTCTTTCCAGGGGGGGCCCCCGGCGGGGGACGAGCGGGACGGGATCGTTCCGGCTCCAATGCCACCCCATGCGCTGGTACCAGGGCTGATCCCAGGCCAGCCGGGGGGCCCCAGACGGAACCGTCCACGGCCAAGTCCCAACCCAGCCTCCAGCAGAGGCCCCAGCACAGCACAGTGGCATGGGGCCTGCACAGCCCGCGCAACCCAGCGGATCGGGGCTCGTGCAGCCCGTACCCTTCATGTCCTGGGGAAATTCGGGACCACCGGGACTGTGGGCGATGACAGGGAGCGCGCACCCGGCCTTATTTCAACCCCCCCAGGCCCAATCTTTACTAACAGCCCAGACGCTGCCTCTGCCACCGCAGGGATTCGGCAGCACAGAACAGGGCTGCTTTGTCCCCCCGGCCTTTCCATCGGGACATTCCTGGCTGTGGCCTTTTGTAGGGGGACCCTGGTAAGCCACCCCATGGGCCCTTGGGGGATACCAAGGGGGGCCCCTCAGACCTCCCAAGCACCTGGATATGAGGAAGCCCGAGGTAGAACTCACGCCAGGGCTCCTCGGAGGAAACGGAGACGCCATTCCTCGAGCTCCCAATCCTCTTCTGGCTCCAGGTCCCCTTTTGCGAATAAGAGACACAGGGATCAAAGGGCCCCGTCCCAATACGAGGCATCAGGGGCCTCAGAGGCAGAAGGGGAACAGCAGCAGGCCATCACACTCAGGGGATTAGACCGGCCAGTAGCTAGTGAGGGTCTTGGGAGGCAACGCCTGCACAGCATTAGCGCTGAGCAGGCGGAGACAGCTTCCACTATTACTTCTGTACTCCACACTGAAAAGGAGGGAGAATGGTCAGGGGACGAGGTGGACATAAAACCCACATCGTCCCGCCTATTTCAAGTAGACCATTTCCAGAGGCTGCTGACAAAAGTCATCTCCACACTTAACTACCAAATGGAGGTGACAGAAAAACCTAGATCATCCACGTCGGCAAAACTAGATCCGAGAGGCATCAAAAAAACGGTAAAGGTGCAGACCTTCTCACCCTTCCCTGATTATTTTGAGGATGTGATAAGGGAAGAGTGGGCCAACCCAGGTGGGGGAGAGCATCTCCACAGTTGATAGCAAGACGTCTGTATATGTTACCTGAGGACACGATGGAAGACCTGAAGGTACCTTTGGTGGACGCGCCGTTGGTGGCGGCGATGCACCCGGGGGCCGTCCTTTTGGAGGACGGGGAAAATGTCCTAAAGGATGCCATGGGCAAGAAAAACGAAGCGGCCCTAAAGAAGGTGCATGAAGCCATCTCCCTAGCAATATGCTCAGCAGCAGCACTGTCCAACTTCACCAGGGCCACGGCCATCTGGGCCGACAACCTACTGCAAAACCCTGATGTAACCCCCCTGGCCTACTGCATCAGGCAGTGCATTACCAAGGCCTATGAGGCACAAGGCCTCAAGCTACCAGGCAAGCTAACAGCACATTCCACGAGAGCGGCTGCAACAACAGCAGCATTTTCAACACGAGCCATGGTAGATGACATATGCAGAGCAGCTACCTGGGTGTCATTTTCCATGTTTGTGCGGTACTACAGGATGGACCAAGCCACATCAGCTGAGGCGGCGTTTGGCAGAAGAGTTTTACAGCAAGTGGTGAAAATATATATAAAAATCCCCATTCATGCAAGGGGTGCACGAAGGAGTGCGAATGATCACCCACCCACCCCAGGGGAATAGCTTGGGTACAGCTAACCAGTTCCTGGATGACTTCCCCCCATTGAAGGAGAACGGTACATTGGACCTACCTGAAGATTCTTTCTCTTCAGTGAGGGAGAAGTCATCCACATCCCACCCAAAAACAGGCTACAAGAAGGCCAGGGTGACGGAAAAAAGGAGAACAGCACTAAAAACTAATAGAAAGTACGTGGATGGCAGCGAACACGTAGCAAGAGTGATCCACGGAAGGGGCTTGGACATGACTGGAGAGGTCAGCAAGGGCCACTCCAATAGGAGCCATGCAACAAAAGAAATTTGCATAGCCTATCGAGCGAGCAGAGGTGTGACCTAACCAGTTCCTAGATGACCTCTCCCCCATTGAAGAGAAAGAACCTTCAGGTAGGTCCAATGTACCGATCTGCCACCGGCCAGCTGGCCAGCGGGGGAACCCCACCCCCCAAATAGGGGTCATCGTGCCAGCAACATTGCACACAACACTCTGATTTTGGGGCAAACTCTGTGGTTTTGAAGCCAAAAACCCATAGTGGTCCCCCCCACCAAGGTGTCATGTGTGATGCTGCTGACGTGATGATGTCATTTCCAGGTGATGTCATTGCACAATGTCCCAACCCCCCCCCCAGAATGCCCCCCAAATCCCTCTGCCATGGTGGTGAGTGGACCTGGAACTCTATTCCCAATTTATATCAAAGACTTTAAGTGTTTCTATGCCAAAGTGAAAATGATCTGGTCTGCATTTATTGCTGAAGTACTATTTAAATCAAATTAACTTGAACTTAAATTTGTTGGTGAAAGGCTTGTCAATCTGTTACAGGCACAATCTTTTTAAAGTATCCTACCTGTATTTAAGAGTGAAACCAGTTAATGTACTGGGATTGTAGTTTGTTGCTGTTTTTAATTAGAACGGTAACATTTTTGCATACTCGAGAGGCCCATTCAAACAAAATCACTTTGCTATCATTGGGAACCTGGTTTTGGAACTGGTTTATATCTGGATGAAGTTCAAACAACATTCAAACAAAAACATTCAAACAAAACAGAATATGGTCTGTATAAATTAAATGTGACTTATTGTCTAATTCTTGGCATCAGAATCAAGTACCACTTAGTTCAGTAGGAGTTACTCCCATGAAAATGTACATAGAATGGTACTTATGTCCCAAATCCATGGAAATATTTCTGGAGAGTTCCTAATGTATACCATTTGACAGCAGCATTTCCTTTGCTTTCATGTACACATTGTAAATTCAAAGTGAGATGAGGAAATAGCAGCAATGTTTTGTGTGGTATTGTTGGCTTTGGACTTGTGGGATAATCATGCAAACTCCTAAATGGAATCATCCATGTGTTGCTTAACAGCACAGAATGTCATTTAATGACCAGATGAACTGCAAAAATCTTCCAGTTCCCAGAGCAGATTTTGTTAATCATATAGATTCATAACTAAAACTTGGAATACCTTGCTTCAACAAATTTAATTAAAACTATGAATGTGCTAATTTGTTAAGATGATTTGTACAGAATAAAATAAGTATTATTGGTTCTTTTTACCTTTTGGGGGAAAAACACACACCTTGATTGCTAATCAAGAAGGCTTTTCTCTGCAAATACTTTGGTAGGCTGTTCCAGTAAGTCTCTATTGCTTGTTTAGTAATAGAAGCTAGGATTTGGCATTGAGCCAGCAGCAGGCACCAAATTTTAGGCAGTGTGCATTTGATGAAATCTACTTCTGAATAGCATATAGAGGAGATTTTTTGCCAGTGAGGGAAAAGTCAGTCATTTTACAATCTCTGGGCTAGAATAATTAGATGTTTAATCTACACATGTTGTGGAGAGATCACCATTTCTTGGTTCATAGACCATTAAATTATGTACCTGGGGGAAAATGATTCATCCTCTAAATTGGTTGTTATTTGCTGCTACTATTGATATGTGCAGTGTGGTAGTGCCAATGATGCAGATTTCCTGTTGCCTACTGCTTGTGACCCAGGTGGCAATGGCAGATGAAAACAGCTGGTAAAAAACTCTTCGTATAGCCACTGCCTTGGACCTGGCAGTTTGGGAGAGAATAAAATAAACTTTGCCTTGATACTTTATGTAGTGGATGCAGTGAAGTCTCAAGATAGTTTCTCCCTTAAAACTTCCCGTAGTAGCTTCCTGGAATGAATTTTAGCTGTGTTCGATGCAGTATATGTCTGGTTGGCAGAAGTAATTGCGTTCTTCACAGCATTCTCAATTGTTCAGATCTGTGCCGAGCTTCCAAGCTAAGCAAGAGACCTGAGCTAGCTGCCACCGAGTGGACTTGCTGCTGTTTTCCCATTTCTTTAAAAATATACTGGGGAAATTTGTACATACTGATTAACTAAATGCAAGTTTTCCCCCCAATGGGAAAAAATAGCTGTTCCCTGGATCTGTTTCAGGTGGGGAAAAGGGCAAAAGGGCAAGGCTTTAAGCCCCCTCTGCCCATTTACATTGGTCCTAACTTGAAATGGGCTCCTATGCACCTGAGAACCCAACTTCCAGTGCATGTTGTCCTGACAAGACAAGGGGCAAACCCTTAAATGTTGTAACATATAGGCCCCAAGATCTTTTTCTTAAGTTCTTCATATCAAAAATACATGCTGCATTTATGAATAGTACATATGTATTTAAATTGCTATTTTTCTTAACAAAAGGCCTGAAATCAGGCAGCTATACATTTCCTGATCCTTGTAGCATTTTATTTTGCCAAGTAAAATAGTAACTGAAACATACTGTATGTACATAAGATAAGTTTTTACTAGGTGCATCATCAAGAAGAAATGGTGTGGTATCTTAAATTTGTATACAAGTTACGGGTATGTAGAATACGAAAAATCCCAGTTTTTTTATACAACCTTTTTATGGTGATCATCTTGTGTTCAGAGTTGCCTTCCTCTTGGGTAAATATGTGACATATGCAATTCATAAACAAGGCAAGATAAGTATATTACGTGATGATGTCTTCTTTGACAGCCTTAACATTGCAGTGTGCTTATTTTGAAGCATATGGTAAAACTGTGACCTGTAAAAGCCATCTGATGAATCAGCATTGTGCTGAATGTCTTCTAAGGGTGAAATATTAATCTTCTGGTATCTTGTGTTTTCGCAAACAAATGGGGTTTTTAACGTTCTGATAACTTAGTTGAACAAAAAGTGATGCTGTTGTCTGAATACGAAGAAGAGGCTGTAAGAATTATACAAGTAATTTAAAAAAATCTGTAATGCACTTGAAAACGTTGCTTTAAAAATAGTTTTCATTTCTTTTTTTTCAGACCGATCTTGATTACGTAAATGGCGTTGTTGCAAGCCTAGAAAAAGAGTAAGTGAACATTAGATAAATTGTCATGGAACTACTTTGTTTATGAACTGATGTTTCTTTTCACAGTTGTTGGAGAGTAGAATTAATAATTGGATATGTGTATGGGTTGCATATTATAGGAAATCAAATGGGGCAACTAAATACTTTTATTTGTAAATGGGATTAAAGGATTCAGTTTGACATAAGGAGATTACATTGGCATGAAATAACTGGATTGCTTGGCATCTGTGCCTAACCCTGGTATGCTGACACTGAAATATAGAATGTCCAAGTAGCTGATGATCCGTTGCAAATAATAGATTATGGGTAGGAGCATGGAGCCCAGTTAGCACACCAGAGCACTGGGCTAAGTTTTATTTAGGGTATGTTGTGCTTTGTTACATTCTGTACCAGCATGCTCCACAGAAGGGATGGGGGAAGGGAACAGCTGTGAGAGGGTAGGCTTGAAGCCAAGGAAGTCACCTCTCAGGTCTTTAAGCAATATTTATAGCTTTAAGTATTTATCTTTATCAGTAGTTAGGCTGATAGATGGTGACTTGCCCAATTCATGGCTGAATGGATGTTTGAGCACAGGCCCAACATTCAATTCATTGCACCATACTGGGAACTTAGAAAGGAGTGTTTTGCAGAATATATATATGCAATATCTATTTTAAAAACTTTTATGATTTATAGATTTTCTGCTGAAATAAGTTCTGGGTTAGTGGAGGTAATAGCCCCACCTGCATCATACTATCCTGACCTGACAAACTTAAAAGAGACATTTGGAGACTCAAAAGAGAGAGTCAGGTAAGTAGATTCTCTTAGATTGTGGGGGCAAGCATATGGCTTCTTTGTCATTTTTGTAAGACACATCAGAAATGGATGTGATAGATTCTGGTTTATTTGCATATCATATTCATGAGCAGAATGTAAGCCAAAGTAGGGCTGAAGAGCATGCTAACTTTATTATGTATTATACTATTCAAGAATTGCTACCCTCAAACAGAAGAATCTTGAGGACTGGATCCAAAGCCAAGTGGAAGCAGCTTTTGATTACAGAAGTGGGCAGGCTCTGTGGATAATCTCTGCAGTCATTCCCTCCTCAGGCCACTTTTCACACTGTTCCCAGGGGTCCCTCAGTGAGTGCAACTTTGGAGGGGGCACAGGGGGCTGCCACTGAAAGATGGAGATGGGGGAAAAACATTCCAGGAGCAGAACACCATTTGCAGTTCTCTTGATCCTGCCTATAAACTTTGAGGTTGTTCAAACAAGTTTTGTGGATGACACTGCACTGGGGGAGCTCATTGGCAGTGGTGGTGGTCTCCCAGGAGCTGGCAGCTGGCTAATGGGAAGATTTTGGGGAGGCTGTGCTGCTTCTGCTTCTGCTTCTGCTCCCTGCCTGTAGGAGTGGGAGCCAAGGAGGTGGAATAGCCTAACTCCCCTCCCCCCCAAATTTCTCTCAAGTGCCCACTTTATGCTCTAGGTCAGGGGTGTCAAACATGCAGCCCGGGGGGAGGATCAGGCCCCCGGCGGGCTTCTATCAAACCCACAGTAGAACTGGCTGTCTTCTGCTTCTTCTTCCAGTTCTGCTGCTGCAGCATCATTGTAGGTTTGCAGCTTATAGATGTACACCTGAACAGAATACTCAAGATTGCAACAGCACAGACATTTTGATGCAATAATTCGGAGCAAGAGGTGTCAGTTATCAGACACTGTTAAATAAGCAAAATATTGCAAAAGTGCTAATGTTTTAAGCATGTTTTTATTTTAAGTTAAAAAAAAAACCTTTGTGTTTGTGTCCTTTATAAAGTTTATATCTCTGCTACCTGGCATTACATTTTATGAGACACATGGCCTGGCCCAACAAGGTCTCATTTATGTCAGATCCAGCCCTCATAACAAATGAGTTCGACACCCCTGCTCTAGGTAACTGTATGTCTTTAATGCATATAGGCATGTTAAACTTTAGAAGTTATGAAATTACCTTTAATTTCAGATGGCGGACAAAGCAAAATCTGGATTATTGTTTTCTTATGATGTATGCACAGAAAAAAGGTGTTTACTACATTCAGGTAAATTATTATTTGAATTATAAAACTAATATATAAAGGTACATGCAAGTGGGGCTAGTACTATTATTAGCCATTTCTTACTTAGATAGGATGTATCGAAACAGGTAATATGCATTGAGGTGTTTGTGTGCATTATATCAGAAAATGAAGCCACTTGGGACTTGAGGTTGATGCATATTTTTGAACTTATTTTAGATAATAAGGAAGCTAAATCTAAGCAACATTGATTTGCCTGGGTTTTAATTTATATTATTTTACAATTAAAAAAAAAGGATTCAAGATCCACTTTCAGATTTTAGCTACTAAACCCAGAGTATGTTTTATAACTTCAGAAACATCTGTAAATTGCCAAGGCCAGGTTTTATAAATAAGGCTTCACTTGTTGCATAAGGACTGCAATAAAGCCAGGCAGAGGGACTGAGATGCATATGCTAAGTTTTACACAGTGTTAAGTAGCTGATCCTGATGGGGTTTTACAAGCAAAGAACTACAGAGCTGTACAATTAGGGCTGCCAAGTCCCCCCGGGGGGGGTGGAAAACCCCTGCCCCAGAGGCACGTTCCCCGACGTCGAGGAATTGGGCCCCGGGGGGAACCCCGCCCCAGCGTGCACGTCACAGGGAAGTGATGTCATGACTCCAGGCACGCTGGGGGCGGGGCCACGGCCATACAAGGGAAAACTCTATGGTTTTCCCTTGTATGGGCGTGGCCCCGCCCCCAGCGTGCCCGGCATCATGACATCACTTCCCTGTGACGTGCATGCGGCGCGCGCTCCGGGATCCGCACGGGAGTCCCCCACCGGCAAGGTAAGTGCCACTTGGCAACCCTATGTACAATTTTTAACTTGGGTTTTAAGTCAGAAGAGTCAGTGTGGGTTATTCACAAACTACTTAATGTCCCAATGCAGATGTCCCAGGGCCATGTTGTTGTTATTAATCAGAAGAATGGGGAGGGGGGATTTGTGAGGGGGGGAAACATACGCCAGGCTTGTGAGGTGGTCTTCATCGCCAAACCATAATGTAGTGATTTCAGTGTGTGACCTCTGAACTGGGCCGGTGAATCTAGCAAGGATTTTTCACAGTCAGTCAAAGCCTGCCAAAATGAATTTTATTCTTTATGCAATACTGCAGTATTCTTCAGAGAGCCAAGTAGTGTCCTTTCACCAAATAAAGACCATGTTCAAGGAGGGACATGGTACAAGAACATTGCTGAATTATTCTTTGCATCTTTCTGCCAACATGGTGCAGTTTTAGGTTGAACATTTTAGATTGTAGACTGTAGACATGATCCCTGCATTATAAACCTTAATATTTTATTTTATTACTTGGGATTATTATCAATACCTTATTTTTTAAAATATGACTTAAAGGGGTCTGTTTGATCCAAATATCTAAAGTATTTTTATCACAAGGATAGGAGAGATCCTGCTGATGTTATATATGTTTTTAAGTGCCAGATAGTATATGGGGTCAAGGCAAGGCAGCCTTCAATGTATTCAATTGTTTCCCACCCATTCATTTAATCTGTAGGTGAACAATTTTAAAATAAAGCAATTATTGTCATCCTTGCCTGGTTTCCAAATGCCATCATAGTACATTGCCCTGGAGGTCAATCAGATGGATAGGTTTAAAATATGCTTGAAATGTGCTTTGTCTTTTTTCCCATTTCACCACTTCTCTGTTTTGTTGGTCTTGCTTTTAATGTAGTTGTTTGGTTTCCTTAGCTTGAGGATGACATCGTTGTCAAGCAGAATTACTTCAGCACAATTAAAAATTTTGCGCTTCAGTTGTCCTCTGAAGACTGGATGATTCTTGAGTTTTCTCAGCTGGGATTTATCGGTAAGTGAATTTTTATTTGAAATGGGGCTGAACTGGAAATCTTAGATTGACAGTCTTATGCTGAAGATGAAGCATAAAAATGATCTAGAGCTTCATTTAATATGCAATACATTTAATATTTTTAAAAGATCCTCTAAGTAGTTCATCCTGTAATTCAACATGTTAGGTTGTTTGAAAATTATCGTGATATAATCCAGCCATTGACAATTCGAATAATTTGTATACTTGTGGCTGCAGGCCTGAAATAAATGACAGATTCTTAACTTGCATGGCTTAAATGGGCTTCAACCTTGTAATCATTAGGCTCCATTAAGTTCTAGAATATGACCTTGCATTCAGAGTTTAAGAATCTTCATTTTTGAAAAAAATAATTTCCCCAACATTCTTGAAGAGAGGAAAAATACTGGGTTTTGTTTTGTTTTGTTAAATATGTAAAGGGCAAGGGGAAGGTCTGCATAGCACTGTTCCTACGCTCTTCCCAATTCCCCACATCTTCAGTCCCTGTCCTTCTGTCTATGTACTCATGCCCCACATGATTCTAGTTCCAACCTTTTTTGAAACAAATTTGTGGCAAAATGTGTAAAAAGTATTCAACAGATCATGTGAGTGCACAGCTCCACGTTATCAGATACAATAACCTACAGGTTACTACTTCTTCAGTAATTTAAGTAAGAAGACTTTTAGTCAAACTAGTCCTTTCTCTTGATAGGCTGGTTTTACAGTTTTAAAACACAGGGCAGTTGCTGATGCTGTTTTAAAATTCTTGCAGGAAAAATGTTCCAGTCTCCAGATATTACTCTCATTGTTGAGTTCATATTTATGTTTTATAAGGAAAAACCCATTGACTGGCTCTTGGATCACATTCTTTGGGTGAAAGTTTGCAACCCTGAGAAAGATGCAGTAAGTTCAATTTGAAGTTTAAGTGTATTTAATCAGGGCCTTTTTTGTAGAAAAAGCTCAGCAGAAACTCATTAGCATATTAGGCCACACCCCGACAGCACAGATCATTAGCATATTAGGCCACACCCCGACAGCACAGATCATTAGCATATTAGGCCACACCCCATGTTACCAGAAGTGTGGTCATCCAGCCACACCCACCTTTTGCTTCTTATTCTGTTTACCTTGTTTGTTGGTCAAAACCCAGGGCTTTTTTTGTAGCAGGAACTCCTTTGCATGTTAGGCCACACATCCCTTATGTAGCCAATCCTAATGAGTTTCTGTTGGGTGTGGCCTATTGTGCTAATGAGTTCCTGCTGGGCGTGGCCAACTCAGGAGCCAGCCGGAACTCCGTTCCTGTGCGTTCCTGCCCCAAAATAGCCCTGTATTCAATATTTCTGGTGGGGGTGCTGTATGTTACATGCTGTAAATGTGAGAAAGTACATGTAAGAGGAAGGGAAGAGAGGTCTCTTTCCCATTAGGGTATTATATAACCAAATGGAATCAGGTGTTATACAGTGAAATTGGTGAGAGGCTCTGAATCCTTGGTCACTAGCCCGTGTAGAATCTAAACAAAAATGGTTAGCATCCATGGGCGGGCAGGCATAGAAGTTCTCCCACATTCCTTTCCATTGTTGCAGTTCTGGAAAAACATGTTCTACAATGGAGGATCATTATGGGCAAGCAGAATCCAAACTTACTCATTGCACTAGATACTTTCAAGAGCTGTCTTTCCAGTTGTTTACTGTTGTCCCACTTTCAGACAGTATTCAAAAGAAGCCCCTGAAAGTTAACACCCTGAAAGATTCTTCCTAGGGCTGCAGAGTACATGCAGAGGAACCACCATGCTGGGCAGGAAGGACCAAGGGACGAAGTAGCTCTCTCCTCCCTTCAAGGATGCTGTGCTTGCAGAGGAGGAAGGAGGAGCAATTTTACCTCCTTGTTCTTCGTCGTTCCAGCAAGCCTAACCCACATGGCTGTTCCTCTGTGTGGGTCCCACAACCCTGGAAATGACCTTTCCAGGGTCAGAAAGAACTGCAGCAGTTGAGAGGAACATGGGGAAATTAACCTTCCATGCACAGAATGGTAGAATACTGTCCAATGTCTTCTTTTTAGAAAACAATTATTGTACAGCAAAAGCAATGGAAAACTAATATTTTATAATTTCTTTAGATCTGTAGGGATTAGAAGGCATATTTGGGCAGGGATGCAAGGAGGAGTTAGGTGCTGAGTGTGCACTCTAAAACATCTGAAAGATGCACAGTTCCAGGATGATGATGGTTAAGTGATATGGGCACTTGATTCCATCACAGAAAGTTTCCATTGGTTGTAATACATGTGTCTGCGCCTTCAGCACAAGGGATGACTAATTCTATCCCCCTACACCTATTTTCTTTTAAGAAACATTGTGATCGGCAGAAATCAAACCTAAGAATACGCTTCAGGCCTTCTCTTTTCCAGCATGTTGGCCTGCATTCCTCTCTAGCAGGGAAGATTCAGAAGCTCACAGTGAGTACTTGACATATGACATATTTCCTTCCTCACAACATCAGTTCTCAGTAAACTGGTCCATTGATCAAAGTTGGTGTGAATTGCATAGTTGTTCCTAAGCATGGGAGAGTGGTTAACAGAACTCTGTATTCTGTTAATCTTCTCTGATGTCATAGTCTTCCCTGGTTGAAATGTCTCTGCATAAGTATTCCAGTGGGGTAGCTGTAGTAGTCTATTGCAAAAAAAAAAAAAATAGTAGTGGCACCAGCATTCATAAAGGGTTAAGACATGATACATGTTAAGAACAATTGACTGAAGTTATTAAAAAGAGGGTCTCTTGGATTATTAGGAATTATAATGAACGAGGAATCCCAAATCTCATCTTAAAATGGGACAGTAGGAATTTAGTTTCATGATGAGTTATAATTCAGCACTTTTATGTTATGTATTCCTTTTGAAGTTTTTCTTGTAAAACAGTGACTTTTAGATCTGCAACAATATGTCCAGAAAGATTAAAGTTAAAACAACCACTTTTTATTATTGCAATTTCTTATGTCAGATTTGTGTTCATTAATTCTCTCATATAGGGATTTTCATATTTATCAAGTGTAGACAGGAGAAGGGCACTCTTGGCACATGATGGTATATATTAAATTGAATGATGTGCAAGTAGATGAGCCCAAGATGGTGTAGCTGATGTAATTTTCTGTAAAAATGAGGTAAAGTGGTTTCTTTCGTCATATTGTATCTGAAGAAGTGAGTTCTGTCTGCATAAGTAAACACTGCTCTAGCTTATTTTGTGTGTTTAAGTTCATAGGTTGTGGCTTTCCAGAATATTATGCTTTCCTTCAACCATTGCAGCTATTTTTGTTGAGTACAGGGGCTGAACAGTTTGCATTTTTAAATTTTTTCTCTTTGTCCTCTAGTCCATTTATGTTAACACTAGGTTTTACATTTTGAACTTCCCTATAAGAGAAACGCGCAGTTTCATTGCTAAAGACTATCTGGAGTGTTTTAAGTTGCTTTCATTAAGGAATGGCCCCTGGAGTGAAGGAGAGAGCTCAGTATGAGAGCACATTCTTTGCAAACAGAAGGTCTCATGGTCAGTTCCTAGTATGTCCTGTTAACAAATTCTCAAACAGAAGGGATGGTACAGATGTCTTCTGCTGAGATCCTGAAGAGCTGCTTCCTGTAGAGCAGGCAGCATTAATCCAGAATCTAGATGTACTAAGGGTATAAGGCAGCTTCACGTATACATCTGTGAAGAGTTCCAGCAGTGCAATTCAAGTATGAATTCTTTAAGGAAAAACATTGTAACAAAATTGTGCCTGAGTAAAATTATTTCCTAATAGGTGTCTTGATCTTATTTTTAAAAAGTGCTTTTAATCTCAAGCCTTTAATTGCAAATGTTTTGCAATAAAATATGCAGAAAATGGATAATATGTTGTACCACCCCAATCTAAAGACCCATGGCCACCTTAACTGCATTTCTTGTCTTCTGTTCAATTAGGACAAAGACTTCTTGAAACCATTACTGCATAAAATTCACATGAATCCACCTGCAGAGGTTTCAACGACTTTAAAGGTCTATCAGGGACATGTGCTTGAAAAGGCCTACATGGGTGAGGACTTCTTCTGGGCAGTTACACCAATTGCTGGGGATTACATCCTGTTTAAATTTGACAAGCCTGTCAATATAGAAAGGTAAGTCTTGCTTGCTTTACAGTTCGAAACGGAGCTTATTTTGAATATTGTCTTAAGATATAGTTGGGGCAACAGTAAACAATTGGAAAGAGAAATCTTGAAAGTACCTAGTACAGTGAGCAAACCTGGATTCTGTACTTCTTGCACATAATGATCCTCCATTATAGAGCATGTTCCTTCCAGTGCTGCTTTTCTGCTCATGTAAGATAACTAACCCCTGTTCTGGAAAGATAAGCCGTATTTGTAAGAGGGATGTTACTGGCTATACAGAAATGTGATGGTAGTTGAATTTTGGGATGGGACAGTGATATAATCCAAAAGCTGACCTAGGAAATAATTTTGAGTGTAGTGGTGCGAGACAGAGGCTTCTCAGCTTGAGCATTTTTCATCCCTTGACTGCTTTCTTATGTTGGTGCTTGATTCATAATACATGTTTGACCTAGTTTGTGTGCAGTCCACAGCAATGCAATCTCTCATTAAAAAGAATAGAGCTGTAGTCCACTCCTTCACATGCTCCTGATACTCTGCTGTCTAGTTTTCAGTCCCATCTATACTCTGGTTTCTCTTCAGATTGCATAAATCTTTCGCCTTTAACTGACAGTCCCATCTGAGGCACTGACCTTCTGCCCCTGCTTCATGAGGGTTGGCAGAGTGGTGTTCTGCCTCTGGTTGGGAAGTCTGCGTTCTACAGAGCAGAGACTGCTTTGGCTGCTGCTAACTTGTAGAGACATCTCTTGGTCTACTTGAAATTATCTTGTCCTGCCTAAGAAGCACCCTCTGACTCTTTGTTTCACTGGTGGGACTTGAAAAGCAAGTGTGTGTGTTTTTGGAAGAGTCTGTTGGATAACCCTCATCCAGCCTTTTTGCAATTTTTGTTTTTCCATTTATTCCCCATCTGGCCCTTATCTTTCTCTTTGAATCCCATGTGCATCTATTTGTAACTTCCTTTGCTTAAACTCATTCCCATGCTTTCCTCCTTCCTAACCCTATCCACTTCAGCAGGCAGGAACTTTTGAAAAGCAAATCTTTGCAGTTTCTGTGCTAAGAGGAAGTTTTTATTCTCCATGCTACTGAAGACTGATTTGAATTAAGCATCCAGATGTTTAATTATTGGTTCAGGGTGGGCAGAATTTCTAGCCTCTCCAGGGTAGCATGGAAAGAAATGAAGAAATTCTTTGGGAGCATTTTTTCCAGAATAGTTAAGGCTGGGCATCTATTAAGCAGCTAGAATGAAAAAGAGATAGAATTTGTTGCCTATGGGACAGATACATAAAAATACAGAGATTAATTAGCTTTGCAAACTTGCCAAAACATGATCTGAGAAGCCAAATGCAGGTGCTTGGGTGAATTGGACTCCCCCCAAAGGTGCTGTATGAACTCCACAAAAGATGCATTTGGGCTTCACATCAAAGTGAGTTTGAGTAAAGGCTTCCCAAACCAGAAAGATTTAAACTGTGCTTTGGGCATGGTGAGGAGCCAGAGGAGCAGACAAACACAGAAACAGCCTGTGTGTCTGTGCCCATCATGGACAACCATCTGGTTGTTGTGCTATCTGAGTATAGCCACAGTCTTCCTATTCATCTCCTCCATTGCAGCAGTAATGATACAGCACACTATAATATTCAGGATACTAATAATTAAATATGTCCTGTTCTGTATCAGGTAGCTCTACTTAAGTACTCCTGATGCACTATAAGAGTGGGAAGCAGAGTACAAATTAGTTGTTTTCTCTCTCAGCAAAAGGGGGGAATTATTTCAAATCGAGGAAGATTGATTTTCTATTCAGTTTGAGCAATTAGGTTTTAAAACCACTGGTTTTCCATCTCAGGTAGCCAGTAATTTAAACATGACCATTTCAAACTCAATTTTTATAGATTTCCCTCTCTCTAGGATATCAGTTTTGATTTGTTTCCTATTGACAATATAATTAGTAATCTTTAAATGCCGAAAAATGACTCTACTTTACAGAGGCTTCTATCTTGAAAAGCAGGTACTGAGGATCCAGGGTGGTTCTTTCAACTGAAAATGGTTGATCTTACAGTATTTTACAAGATTGCTTTCACAATATTAATTTGTATAGCAATCAGTTTTGAGGCACACATATATTTATGACCAGAAAACAAATGATGGGATATGACCAGGTCACAAAACCTGTTTATATGTAAATGTTCATGTTATTCTGTAAGGAGTTTGTCACATTGCACCAACAGCTTAGTCTCTGCATTCAGAATTCTGAAATTATTACAACTGAAACAAATCAATATTTTTGAAACGAGAGAGAGACAATGAACTATGACAAATTGTGGGGTTACAAAGTCAGGAACTAAGTAATTAAGGGATCACTTGCAGTACTGCTGACAGTTGACAGGAAGACGTTCAATCCTGTTCTACTGAATGGGTCTTATTTCTGATACTTTAGATCTCATTTTTGTGTGTGAATGAGGCATTGTGAGATTTCAGTACGGGTATAGTTGGATATCAAGTGCAGAACCACAGTTCCAATTAAAGGTGATTGCAGAAAAGTAGTCATTTAGCAACACAAAACAACTCTTGTTGGGGTAGTCCCCTGGTTTCTGTTGTCTAGCAGTGGGCACAGTTGGTTTGCCAGCTGGGGATTCAGGATAAATGCTGGGACTAGTAGCATTCCCATGCTATGAATCTGCCATATAAGGTGAAGAGTGCTCCCATCAAGGACTAGCATTTTTGCCCACTAGACGGTCAATGGCGTACCCAACATCATACCTTCTGTTCCATCTGGATAAAGTCTGTCCAACTTCATACAGTTCACCACAGGTCTAGTGTGCTTCTTGATGGAAGCAATCACCTCACTTGGATTTCATGAAAAGGCAAAAAGGTACTCAGTGTTGTTAAAGTACAATGGCAATTCACTCTGTTTTGCCTTACAACCTCTCCCAGTGGTTTCATGTAGATGCTGGAGCACGAGGATCTCTGTGAAAAAGTTCCTAAAAATAAGGACAATCGTCTTCTAGTTCAGTTTTCCAAAACCTGCCCTTGAGAAAGGTACAGGCTCATCAGAAAAGTGATGCTTCCAACCCAAGGAAGCAATCCAGAAGGATATCATGGACAATCGTGTCGAATGCTGCAGGGGGATCAGTGAGAACTGACAATCTCGTGTGGCCACTCACCTTATCAGTCTCTTATTGCAGGCTGCAGCACTGTATTACCATCTTTCATGTAACATAATCACATGTATCTTTGAGTGAACTTGTATTGAACTAAGACTGCCACCATCTTTCTTAAAACAATTCTGTTTGTTTAGGAGCCATCCCTGGAGAATATCTTACTTAGTGGTATTGTGTATAATGGCAGAACATATTAACAAACTTAAGCAAACATGGTAAAAGATGCATCCTCAGTTTTCACACATGATGATGCACTTCGTGTATGTTTTTCCGCGTTAGAAAAATGCCATGTGTAATATGACCATCAAAGATGTACATTTTGAAAATACATTTTTTAAAAAATCAGCTTTAGTATAAAAGAGCCATAAAAGCATTTATGTGAAGGTTTCATTTATGAAAATCAGGCCACTGGAGGAATTTTGACCTTTCCCAGAAAAACAGTTCATTCAACTGTGAAAACTTATAGAGCCCAAATAAGATCTCTGTCGTTATACGGTCCTGCAGTGTAGGATATAGATAAGCAAGTATATAATAGCAACATCTCGTGGTACCTTAAAAACTAACAAATTTATTGTGGCATAAGCAAAAGTGAGCCAGAGCCTACTTCATTAGGTACCAGAGCAGGAGACAAGCTCTGACTCACTAAAGCTTATGTTGCAATAAATTTAAGGTGCCATCATAAGATGCTTTGTCATTTTGGATGTAGGATAATAATGCAGCTATTCCTCTGGACATAATGTTGATGGGATTTCCCCCCCCCCCTTAAATTCTGTTATGCTTGGAGCTCATGTGAAATTTAGCGTAGGTTTGGATCCTGCAGTAAATTTCTGATAATGGAAGAATGGTGATTTTTTGTCAATTCCCCTTCCCACTGCAGACACCCAATTTGCTGTTGAGTGCCCCCTGTCCCCCGAAAGTGGAATTTCAGGGAGCATGGAGAGGCATGGGGGAAGGTGAAAAGAGTGCTGTTTGACTGGCAGATTTAGCTTGAAATCCAACCCATTTTTTGTGTATATGGGTATCTGTGATCCTAGCCTTTGTGCTCAGATAAACATTAGTTCAGCTACCCTTCTCTACTGAACAACAAAAAAACCCTTCTCAAATCTGAAAGCAAGCCCACTTTATAGAAGCTATAAAAGACATTCTTTCATAAGCAGAGATACCACCTAGTGGCATAATATAATGGTTTCTCCCTATTACTTAACACTGGTATGCATAGTATATTAAGAGTATTTCTGTATGCATGTTCAGTTTTCCACTTTCCAATGAAAACACATCCCAAATATTGCTAGATCCACTGGTTTGGTACAGCCAGGGATCTCTGCGCACAGCAGAGTTCACTAGGCTACACGAAGTAGCTTCGTGTATGCTAGCAAAATTACAGGGTTACATGGAGCCACTTGTCAGTTTCAAAGTGTAATGTAATACCTTTACATTCTAGATAGTGCAAGGAGAGGCTGCTCTATGTGTCCTGACCTCTCTATATGTCTCTAAGTCCTATCTCTGAAGGCTGAGGCAGCAGACAGCGTATACTCCTTCACTTACAACAAATATAAAGTAACATGCATTCATAGACAAGATGTTGCATAAACACACAGTTCTTTGTTGTTATTTTGGCTTGTCTTAATAAAAGGCAGAGGTCGATTCGGGGGGATCGCGGGGGATCGCCATTCCCCCGGGTGAGGGGTGGGGCACACGATGAAGCCCCGCCCCTGCTTCCGGCCGCCTCGCTTCCGGCCCTCATTCAGCCAGGAGGAGGCAGAAGAGGGAGGGTAAGTTGCTTCCTTCCCCACCTCTCCCCACCCCTGACTGCCTGGGACCAGGGAGGGCCTTGGCGGTGCTTCCTCGCACTCCCGC